TGCGGTGGGCTAAGAGAACGTGGTGAGGCGGATGTATGCTACCACGCGGTTTCTCTGTTCGCTATCGTTCAGAGTCGAATTACGCGTGACATGGCGCTGCCGCCGCTTTATTTCTTGACCGAAAAGGTGTTTGGTGACACAGGTCGCACACCACACAAACATGCAGGATTGTGGGGTGTGGGTGAGGTCGGCGAAACTCGAAGTCGAACTGAAGATGGGGCTCTCTGCCGTGTCGCCAACATCGACCTTCAAGGCGAGGGCATCGCACCTGCCTCCGTCCTGGAGTTCTGTGAACGGTACGCTGCCACACGTGACGGATTTGAAACGGAACTCATTTTCGAGCAACTACCCGACGACACCAATGTCGGTACTACTGGTACTGGTACGACGAGTGGTGCTGCGGTTGCGGTGACGGCCGGGTTGACAGAGACTGGACGCGTGGATGGCGAGCGGCCAAGTGAAAGTACGGAGTTGACGACGATTGTCACCGAGTCGGTCACCGGTGTGGTAACTGAGCCGGTGACAGAGTCGGAGGGCGCGGCCGCCTTGATGTCGGCCCTTTGCGACGTCGATACGCTGTGCGGTGCAGTCGTCTGGTGTCTGCACCGGCAACGGTCGTCGGTCCTGCTGAGTTGCACATGAAGGACCGTGGCGCGATTACGGCCTTAACTTTGCGTGGACAGAGCCAGAAGACACGCCTGACGCCGCCGAACACTTATCTGGAGGTGCGGGTTCGTGCAGTGGGTCTGAACTTCCGCGACGTATTGAACGTTATGGACCTCTACCCTGGTGACCCGGGCCCTCCGGGCAGTGACTTTGCAGGCACCGTCACACAGGTTGGTCCGGACGTGAAACATGTGAAGGTGGGCGACCATGTCTTTGGTATTGCGCCGGGTTGCCTGAAGACGTACGCCTTAACTGACAGTCTGCTCACCACTCGAATGCCCGCCGGCTTCACTTTCGAAGAATGCGCGGCCATGCCCGTTATAGGTGTCACTGTGGAACACGCACTGGGAACACTGGCCGGTGTCAAGAGAGGCGACGTGGTACTCGTGCATGCCGTGACCGGCGGCGTCGGGCTTGTGGCGTTGCGTTATTGTCTGCAGGTCGGTGCAGAGGTGATCGGAACTTGCTCCAGCGAGATGAAACAGAAATATGCGCGAGAGGCTGGTGCCAGTTGTGTAGCGGACTCAAGAAATGCAGATAGCTTCCGACGTACGGTAGCTAACTATCTTGGCGACCGGAAAGTGGATGTGGTGCTGAACTCGTTCATTGAGGACTTCATTACGCACTCGGTCGATTTCCTGAAGGAGGACGGTTTCTTCATTGAGTTGGGTAAACGGGAGCTGTGGAGCGTTGAGCAGATGCAGGCGGCGAAGCCGGGTGTGCACTACCACCGTGTACAAGTGGACGTGGATATGGAGAAGAATCCTGCTTGGTTCCAGAACGCCCTAACGAAGCTGAGAGACTCGATGGCCGAGGAACGTCTGGTGCCACCTCCGTTGGAGCTGTACAATTTGTACCACCGCGAGCGGCACGGTGTGGCAGCATTCCAGCAGTTGCAAAAAGCGAAGCATATTGGCAAGGTGGTGGTCTCGATCCCCTCGGTTTTCGGTCGGGTTGACGACTGTGCTTCCAGTCGGCCTGAGAGACAGGCGATACTGATTACCGGAGGTTTTGGCGGCATTGGACTTACTGTGGCTCGTTGGTTAGCAGAAGAGGGCGCAACCGATCTTGTGTTGGTCTCGAGGTCTGGTAAACCAAACACGGAAATGGCTAAGCAAGAAAGCTGGAGGCGACTGAGTGAGTTGGAAAGGTTGGGTGCAGTGAGGATACATGCCGTGGCAGCAGCTGCTGAGGATAGTGAAGCACTCATGGCCGCGCTTGCTGGGTTGAAGGAGCAATTGCCGAGACTGCGTTTCGTTTTCCATTGTGCAGGAGTGTTGGATGACAAACTTGTCGAACAGCAAGACTTGGAATCGGTGAAGACGGTAATGAACCCGAAGATAAAGTCAGTCTACATGCTAAGTCGAGCACTGGAGAAGACGCGACTGGATAGACAAGTNGAGCTGTTCATCTGNTTCTCATCCTTCTCTGCACGTTTTGGGAACTACGGTCAAACTAACTATGCTGCGGCTAACTGCGGACTGGACGCGTTTGCGGCGTACCGCACACGTCGTGGCAAGAAGACCGTCAGCATACAGTGGGGGCCGTGGATTGAGCAGGGCATGGCCGCGAAGTTGGCCTCGCATCTGGCTTCGGTTGGCATGAAGGGTATTACGAACGAAGTTGGCCTGGCGGTGTTGCACGACGCAGTCATAAAGTCTGTTAATACGCAGTGTGTCGATGTCTTCCCCACCGTGACATGCGTGCAGGCCTTTGACTGGGATCTGTTCTTCGACAGGTATAGTGAACGGCCGCCCGTCTTGAGCGAAATCGCGACCCAAGCAGACGCCTCGGGACTGAACAAGGCCGCACGCGACAAACTTGTAGCCATGGCGCCAGAGGAACGCGTGAAGTTTGTGCACAATGTAGTGGCCGACACGGCTCGACAGATCCTGGGCACCGCCGAAATGCCGAGCATGGACAGTCCGCTGCAAGAGCTCGGTATCGACTCACTCGGTGCAGTGGAGTTCCGGAATGCGCTGCAGCTAAAGCTCGGAGTGAAACTGCCGGTGACGGCGCTGTTCGATTATCCCACATTGGGCGCGATCAACACGTTCCTGTTCAAGGAGATCGATGCCATGGTTGCAGCTTCTGGCGGCGGGGTGGTCGCGGTGGCTACGGCTACTGGTGCGCCCACTGCGGGCTTGGGAGGCGTCGCGAGTGATCGTTTCGAGCGACTGGCGGTGGTCGGAATGGCCTGCAGATTCCCGAGTTATTGTCGCTCACCGGCATCGTACTGGGATATGTTACTGAGCGGTCGAGACTGCATGGTTGAGGTGCCTTTCGATCGTTGGAGTGTGGACACAGTGTTCGATCCGGACCCTGATGTGCGTGGTAAGTGTTACGTGGCACAGGCTGGCTTCATGGCCGACGTGGAATTATTTGATCATCGTTTCTTCAACATTTCGGCTGCGGAGGTAGCTTGTTTAGACCCTCAACAACGGCAGACTCTGGAAACAAGCTACGAGGCCTTTGTCGACGCGGGATTCAATCGTACCACGTTGGCTGGACAGAGCTTGGGGGTGTACATAGGTTGCTGTAATACGGACTGGCACTTTGTGGATGCGACCGCTAACAGCGAGAAGGTTACAACTTTCTCTTCTTCGGGAGGTGCTACTTCCTTGATTGCGAACCGTGTATCGTACGCCCTTGGATTAACCGGTCCGTCCCATACAGTGGACACGGCGTGTTCATCGTCGTTGGTGGCGGCTGACAACGCGTTTTACGCACTCCGTGGTGGTGCCTGTGAGGGCGCTCTGGTAGGAGGTGTGAACTGCATGGTCACGCCACACCTGTTTGTTCTTCTGGGGAAGTCGCGTATGCTGTCGCCTACTGGTCGCTGCTACACGTTCGATGCGAGAGCTGACGGTTACGCGCGCGGTGAAGGCGTCGGTGCCCTTGTGTTGTTGCCCGTTTCGAAAGCGAAGGCCCTTGGTCTCGCGGCGTACGCACTGGTTGCCGGTTCTGGTGCAAATCACAACGGCCGCAGTGCCTCCGTGACGGCGCCTAATGGGCCGGCGCAGCAGGATGTGATTCGGCAAGCCATGCGCCAGGCTGGCGTCGAACCCGGGCTTGTGAGGTACGTAGAGGCACACGGAACGGGCACCGCCCTGGGAGACCCCATAGAAGTAAACGCACTGAAGGGCGTCTTCGCCCACGCCGTAAGCAATCGAGAGCCACTCATCGTGGGCGCTGTCAAGACAAACATCGGACATCTGGAGGGTGCCGCGGGCGTCGCAGGACTTATCAAACTCGTTCTCGCTCTCCATCAACGTCAAGTCCCACCCAACCTAAACTTTCAGACATTGAACCCCCATCTTGACCTGTCCGGCTTCAACATCGCCTTCCCGTACAAGACTAAAGCTCTGCTGCCCACGGAAGGAGTGATTGCTGGTGGAGTTTCGTCATTCGGGTTCGGCGGAGCTAACGCACACACTCTTGCCCTCTCCGTGGACGCTGAACCGGACCTCGCCCGCAAACCAGACCTACCCGGACGGACTGAAGGAAGGGCCCTGGATACGCAAGTCCGAACCCAAGTCGGTGTTCAGGCCTTTGGAGGACGTCGACTGTGCTTCGTGTTTGCTGGTCAAGGTTCGCAGTATGCGGGCATGGGCAAGTCGTTGCAGAGCGAAGGTTGTGAGGCGGCGCAGAAGGTCTTCGCAGAGGCGGAGCGTGTTTCGGAGGCTGAGGATTTGTTCGGCATTGGTGAGGGCGCGTGGGTGCGTATTAGTGAAGTGCTGTGGGGTTCGAGGTCGACCGAGATTGATCAGACACGGTTTGCGCAGGTGGCTGTGTTTGTGCACCAAGTAGCCCTGTTTGAAGAATTGAGACATCGTGGGCTGCGACCTCAGGTCGTGCTCGGACACTCTTTGGGTGAGTTCGCCGCCACCGTGGCTGCTGGAGTCTTCGATTTCGAGACGGCGCTGAGGCTGGTTGCGCTACGTGCACGAGAGATGGCATCCCTCGACCCCGCCGGCGGCGAAATGCACGCGTGCCGCGCAAGTGCGGTGAACGCACGCACTGTGATCGCCGATCTCGGTCTTGCACACACGTGTGCTCTCGCCGCTGAAAACGGGCCCAATAGTATCACGCTCTCCGGAACGGCTGCTGCCGTGCGGAAGGTGCTCGAAACACTCAAAACCACAAGCAAGAAACTGGACACTTCGCACGCCTTCCACTCTCCTCTCATCGCGACTGCGACTGATACCTTGCGTCCAAGCTTCGAGCAAATTCTAACTGGACGGAAAGAAGTACGGGTCGAGGGTTCGACCGGCTCAAGCGACCTGCCGGTGTTCGTGTCGACGGTGCGGGGAACCGTGGTGGACGCGGCAGAGTTGGCGAGCACGGAGTACTGGATGGCTCACATCCTGCAGCCGGTGCTGTTTAGTCAGGCAGTGTCGAGTGCAAGCGCGGACGGCAAGTGCGCTGTCTTCTTGGAAGTCGCCCCGAGGGCTGTGCTGAGCAAGGTGGTGAAGCCATGTTTGCCACGGGCGAGTGCGGGCGACACGAAGATCTTGGCGGCGTTGGATCCCGCGCAAGACGCAAGTGAGCCGGCACAGATAAAGGCTATTGCCGCCGCGGCATTCGTGGCGCACACACATGTGTGGAACCATGTTCGCAGCCACTGGGGTTATAGCGGACATCCATTCTTGGGCGACTGGCGAGGTGTGCAGCGCCAGACTGTAACCGACCCACGTGGTTTGAGTGTGATACAGCTCAGTCTCGAGCACACGCTCGATCAAGAAGCGCTCGACTACGTCAATGACCACGTCGTCTCAGGTATGTGTCTCATGCCGGGAGCCGGCATTGCCGAAATGGCCGTGGTCGCAGCCGCTCGGCACCTCAATTCTTCCTTCTCACAAGACCCACTCAAACTCGGCCCGCAATGGCTTAGTCTCCGCTCGGTCCAGTTCCTTACGCCCATGGTCGTCCCTGCCCGCGTCACAGATGCCTTCCGCGTCCGACTCACCCGCAGCCAAGGCGGCAGCGGGGATCGAACCGGTGACCTGGTGATTTCGAGTTCCGCATTCCAAGATGACTTTGTCCACAACGCGACAGCATCAGGCTGCGCAACCATGGAACCGCCCACGGAAGCGACGTGCCCCATCGGCGAGGCGCAGGAGAGACTAGCGAATCTGCAGTCTCAGTTCCCGCAGGAAGTGGACGTGGCACAGCATTACACCACGTTGGTGAACGTGGGACTGAACTACGGACCGCGTTTCCAGACACTGAAGGCACTACACGTGGGGGACGGCGAAGCCGTCCTCGCCCAGTTGCATTCTCATGCCTACTACCAACGGACGTCGGGTGCGGCCAGGACCGCTCCCAGTCTCATGGAGATGGCCTTCCGTACGGCGCCTGGAGTTCTTGATGGTGCCTTCCAGGCCGTTGCGGCTGTGCTTGCACGTGCCGGAGTGCGTCAGGGTATGGTGCCCGTGCTGCTCGAAGATGTCTCCGTGGGTCGTGTCTCTGCTGGATGTGTATTGCACTGTCACGCGGTGCTTACAAAACGTACGGCACGCACCGCAATCGTTGCGCTCCGTCTATTCAACCAGTGGGGCCGGCTCGTTGCGCGTTTTGGCGGAGTAACACTCAAGGCCGTGGATGCCGCCCCTGTGCAGTTCCCGCGAGAGCTGTACTGGAATACCGTCTGGATGAGAGTGGACCAACTGACGGACGAAGATGATGATGGGGAGCATGATGATGGGGAGCATGATGAAGACCAAGAACAAGGCAAAGGCAAGCAGGCACAGGGCGGGACCCGGAACCTGGAAGGGGAGACGGTTGTCTCCGATACTGGCGCTGAGGGCGAAGGGGTTGTTGAAAATTTGATGAAGGTCGCAGGTTCGGTTCTCGCGGGAGACTGGTTGTTTGTGGGCAGCAGTGGGGTTGCGGAGTTGGACAAGGCAGAGAGGATGTTGGAAGGCGCGGTACGTGTGACGCATCGGGCGCCGCCGAAGAACGACACGGAGGCAGACATTGTATTGCGTGAGCGACCGTGGACGGCAGTGTTTCAACTGAATGGGTGCTGTACGAGTGAAGGGTATGACGAGTGCGCGGTGTTGGGTGACGCTCTGATGCTTTTCAAGGCGTACGGACGGTTGTTCCAGAATGCAGAGAAGGATGTTGCGTTGCCGTTGCTCGCGGTCGCGACGGTTGCGGCTTGGGCGGTGCCAGCTCTTGGACGTTCTGGACGTTGCGTAGGTGGAGGTTTGCTAGGTTTCGTCCGCAGTGCTAGACTGGAGGTGGACAATATGATGTCGCGTGAACCGCCTTTCGCTTACATAGATTTGGAGGTGGCCGGTTGCGACAATTTGGAGAATTTCGCGCGCGTGTATGCCAAACATCCCCGCGAGGCGGAGTGGTTGGAAAATGGTGGGGAATGGCACGTGAGTCGACTGAAGCAGCAGCCACTGGCGCAAGAACGCGGACCCTGTGGTGTTT